TGAAAATGGAGTTCGGGAGGGCCGCACACAGCCCTCTTGAGCTCCGTTTTCACTGGCAGAAGGTTGCAGGAGGCCGTCCCAGCCGAAAACAGAGCTCGGGAGAGCACTTGGGCCACAAGCACCTCTGACACAAGTGACATCAAGCTGGCCACGCCCACCCTGGCCATGCCCCCCCAAAGGTAAAATACTACCCTGATATGGCCCTCAATGAAATCTAGTTTGTATTGTATTGTATTATATTATTATTGTATTATTGTATTGTATTGTATTGTATTGTATTGTATTGTATACATTGTATTGTATACAAAACATTGTATTAGAGCAATATTTCTCAATCTGGGCAATCTAAGATGCATGGCCTTCACCTCCATGACTGGGGAATTCTGGGAGCTGAAGTTCAGATATCTTAAAGTTGCTCAAGTTGAGAAGCACTGTGTTAGAGGAAGAGACACATTACCAGAGGTGGGTTTCAGCAGGTTCTGACCAATTCTGGAGAACCGGTAGGGGAAATTTTGAGTAGTTTGGAGAACCGGTAGTAAAAATTCTGACTGCCCCCGCCCCCATCTATTCTCTGCCTCCCAAGTCCCAGCTGATTGGGAGGAAATTGGGATTTTGCAGTATCCTTCCCCTGCCACGGCCACCAAGCCACACCCATGAAGCCATGCCACGGCCACCAAGCCACACCCAGAGAACCGGTAGTAAAAAAATTTAAAACCCACCACTGCACGTTACCCTACTAGGTTTATCTGTCCCTGGCAGCTGTTTTACTTCTTTCTTATTTGCAGCTAATTTACAACATGATATTAGCGATCAGCTCCTCTTTAATCAGTCTCTAGGTCTTGCTTGCGGAATTCAGAAATCAGCATCAGTAAATACATTATAAAAATAGTACTGTTACTAATAATAATGCGGATGTAAGATAAAATATAAGTAAGGATAGTTGCATAGACTTTGGAATCTTCTCTCACTGGCTTGGACACAGCAGGGTAATTTGGAAACTAAAAGGGCAGCTGCCAGTTCATTCAGCTCTGACCTGCGTCATCTGTTACTACTTGTTCACCATTCCTCTTCATTCCTGTTCACTTCCTAATGAATGAAATGCTGCAATGCAGTACTATCAACCCTCTACACGGTGCACAGTGCACCTGCTAGGATCCTGGCCTGGGTTAGCAGATGCATCTCTAGTCAGTCGGGTGGGGGGTTGGTGCTTTCCAAGTGGCACCATGTACAATCCTCTTGGAAAGAGGAGAAACAAAACAGCTTGCTTCTAGATTAACTGTGCCAGCCAAAGCCAATCCAAGGTACCGAAATGCTCAGTTGGCAACCTTACCTCCACCTAATGGATTATCAGGAGGTCTTTTGGCCTGAATTCCAATCCCACAAAGTGCAAAGAATTTGGCAGGAACCAACTTCCCCAACTTCAGCTGTATAATGAAGAATCATCCTGACAGAAATTCAGAGGGCCTCCTTCCAAAAATGTGTGATTATTTTGGAGAAGGAGGAAGAGGAGGAGGAGGAGGAGATGGCACCACTTTTTGCTTCAGCATAAGGCATCTGTCCATATTAAAAATATGCCCTGTTTTGAAGAGCCACAACGTGTTTGCAGTATAACTACATCTAGCCAATATTAGATATTGGCTAATATCCCAGAATTGTGAGTCAACTGGAAGCTTAAGATCAGAATGATATATGTTTTGCAGGCTGGTGGGAAAGCTAAAAGAACTAAGCAGAGGGAACGCTATTCCTATATTAATGTCTTTCCACACAGCATCCCTGCCTGCTCCATTTTGACCTTCACTGATCAGTAAAAAAGGGATTTCTACTTGTAGGAGGGATTCTATGCTTAGAAGTCTCACCAGCCAGAGCCCCTGCCCAATGCTTAGGCGCAAAGGTTAGGGGACAGCAGATGGAAATATTACAGATCCAGATTGCATATCCATCCTACCATTTAATCCATATCTGTCTGGAAAGACCTATAAAGAGTTGAAAGTAATGACATGTTGTACATTTGTTCAGATTTAAATCATTATCATCATCATCATCAATCATCTATAGCCCAGCTAACTAACTCCCAACATAGACAACTTTGCTCATAGAAGATAGGAGGACTTTTGTTTTGCCGAGGAGTTATTTTTTCTTGTGATTTCCTTATTTTTGAGATTCAAACACCTGTCATTTGGAATCCAAACTGATCCCACCAATCTACAAGAGAGAAAGAGCAGTAGATTCTCTGGGAGCCCAGAGCATTACAGAAGCTGAAAAAGTATTTAGTGGGGGCGGGGGGTGGGACTCCCACAGTTTTACACGCTAGGACGAATCCAATCCCTGCTCCAAAATAAATACATTAATAATACAGTCCTCAGCCCAGAATAAAAAGTTATCATGCAACAATCATTGTAACCCAAAAGTTGTAGTTGGGTCAGGAAATAAATCAGTTGTAATTGGTGCAAACTAATCAGTTGTAATTGGTGCAAACTAATAATAAGAAAAATAAGATTAACTTGAATGTTAAGGATCTAGTTGCCTGGGGGAAGTTAGAAGCAAAGAACACATAAATTCACATAACTAGTGATTGAGGTCAGTGGTGGGATTCTGCCGGTTCTAGGGGGTTCGGCCGAACCCTTTGTTAAATTGCTGGCTCATCCCGCCCCTTGCCCCGCCCCTCCGCACCACTATTTATTGCCAATAAATAGTGGTGGGTGAGGGACGGGCGAGCCAGCAATTTAACAAACGATTCGGTGTTTTTTTGTAATTTTATTGGCCCGTGGAGCTCCAGCATAGGCTAATTAGCCCCTTGATTCTATTGGCCTCCCGACTCTCAGCTGATTTGCTCTCAGCTGTTTTGGAAAAAGAGGAGAGTTCAAGATTTTAAAACACAAAAGAAAAAAAGCTCTATTTAAATAGGGAATTGTAATAATTGAGATACTATTAATTGTATATTGTGTTGAAAGCAGAAATGGTTAAATTGTGGTTTGGAGGAATATATGGGGGAAATTATTTGGTTTATTATTATTGGTAAATATAATTAATTGATTTGTAAGAAATTGGATTGCATGGAAATAATTGGAATATTCATGTTCATATTGATTAATATACAAAAAAGATAGTTATATAACTAATTGATTTATATTAAAATGTTGAATTTATATTAAACAACTGTAATATTACTTAATTAACCAATGTGAGGATGGATATAAAAATAGATGACAATGAGAAGGGGTATAATATAGAATAGAAGGGAAAAATTGAATTTGATTAAGATTAGAGATGAGGATGAAGGGTAATATTGTTTTTTTTAAAAAAAATAGATGAATAAATATGGCAAAAAGGAAATATAGAAATTGTAAATTTAATTGAAATGACTAAACACTGTTTAAATATGTGAACTGGCCAAATACTCTGTTCAAAGAAAATACATTGTAAACAGGGAGAAAGGAGAGGAGCAGAAGCCACTTAGATAGAGAGCAATGGTTTAGGACAGGGGTGGGCAAATGTGGACCTTTTACAACCTGTGGACTTCAACTCCCAGAATTCCTGAGATAGCCAAGAATTCTGGGAGTTGAAGTCCACAGGTTGTAAAAGGGCCACATTTGTCCACCCCTGATTTAGGAGAAGGGAGAAAGAATGATTAGCTAAGTAAGAGGCAGGGCAAAGGAAGAGTTGGGAAATAAGAAGTCAAGCTTTAAAGCAAGAAACAGAAAAAGATAGTTGAGAGACAAAATGGAGGAAAGCATGAACCTCTTCTTCCTGCAATCCTGTGTCTTGGTGGACTCCACTCCTTGAAGCTAATGGAGGACAGAAGGACAGAAGCTAATGGAGGACAGAAGCAGCTTGGAGGATCAGTTAACATGCTCAAACAGCATAGTTTAGCAGAGGCTGGTAAGTTCTACCAGCAAGGGAATTGTCCTGAGGTTTGATTGGGGAAGGATTTCTTTCAGAACCAGAGGAGAAATCAGATGGATTCAGAGGGGCCAGAAGGAAGGAGACAGAAGAGGGATTAAGCAACTAAAAGGAGAAAGGTTGCTCCGTGAGACTTTTGCAGAGCCAGTCGCAGCCCTGATCATCTTTGCCAAGGGAGGGGAAAGAATTGGTGTGTTTTAGTATGAACGGTGCTCTCTAAATGTATTAGACCTTGAAGGAGACTGCTCAGTCAGTGGTGTACAAACTGTTCTCTCTGAGCAAGTCTCTCCAGATACACAGAGAGACACATTTCCCACTGAGTTCTTTAAAGTTATTCTTCTAGCAATGAGCCTATGTAATTAAAATGGCATGGTTCCACCTTATGCCAACCCCAGACTACCCTTGAGGAGAATCCAAAATCCATGGAGAAGGAGCTTTTATTTGTTGCCCAGCAGTTGTGCTGTGGGACCATCTTTTCCATCCAACTGCGCCTCTGGGCCCATTGGTGCTGTGGTTGTCAGAAAGACCAGAATCCTGTCTTGGGTAGCTATTTTAATAAAATTGCGGGGTGGGGTTCAGAGGAGGGAATGTCAGCCTCCCATGAAGATGCAGATCTTCAGAAGGTGACATTCCTAAATGCAGATTTTCAGAAGATGACATGCCTACTAAATCTGTGATTTACGGAACTAAAAGATTATCTGGTTTAATCCTGGATGTTTATATTTGAGAGAGAATTTGCACTTATATATGCCTCTGTATGAATGCAAGGAGGCCTCTGTGTGTATGTGTGCAGAGAGAGAGGGAGAGATCTGCAATGGAGTGGCATTTTAAAATATTCTTTCAGCCCCCTGTTCAAAAAACATGAGCCTAGTTGCAGTTCCACATGATTTCACCGCCTTGTCACTAGAGAAAACATGAAAATCGTATAAGTTATATACCTACCTGTAGGATAATAACAGCATATCAAGGGCATCAAAGAAAGAATTCTGGGTGGATGGGAGAAGACATTCCTCTTCATTCATTCACTGATTAACCCACGTACACACACACAGAGAGAGAGAGAGAGGGAGGGAGAGAGACCACATAGCCTGTTTCCTCACCTGTTTCCTTTCACTGTTATCTCCACCTTTGCATTCTGTTTCTACCGTTCGTTGTCAGTATGGCTGTGTTGTTTCTTTCTGAAATGAAAGGAGCCTGAAATTTTTTAGCTGTTCCACTCTCTCCCCTTTTCCCTTATCCTGAGTGGCTTCAGAGATAATTGGCAGATGTCACTTGTCATCTGACACCAACACGATCCCATGTTGTCTACTGAAGTAGATCTAGATTTTCCTTCTTTTGGTTTGATCACGGTGAATGGCCTTTAAGGGATTTTCATGCCTCACAGATAAGGCATTGACTGGGTACTAAGCTTGGGTTAAATTTTTGCACCATTGGTTTGAATCCATTCTTGAACAGTCACTACCAAAATAACAAACCATTCCTCTGTTGAATTTCATGTTTGCAATATAGACAGAAGGACAACTATCAAAGTTCAAACTTTCAGCAGACTATAACTTCCACCTCCCCCGCCAAAACAAAAATGACAATCCTTCCTTTTCAGCAATGTGAAAATGTCCTCCATTGTGGGGGCTGGTTAAAAAATCTGGAACTTTCAGAATATACCATCAATGCTGCCCCAAAATGGCTTCTCCAGGGTTTTCCACACACTAAATAGCTGCCACGATGGTCAAAATCAACTACTGTACTGTGTCCCATTTTACCTGCAGGTTATTCCTTACTGCCCTTTATTTACCTTTCTCATTGTTGAGCTGGGCACTCTTGAAAATTAAGCAATCATTTCTATTTCCGAAAAAAGAAAGCTTATAAAACCAAGAGAGTTTTTTTCTCAGAAACAATTAATATGGCTTTACAGCATGCTAGCTTCCTATTAGTGTCACTCTGTAATTATGGTAAAATTGTTTGCCATTAATTATTGTTTATCCATTTAATGAGGGCAGTAGATTTTTTTCTTATTTTTGTTTACCATTTCATTTAATGCTAATTGTTTGTGCTGTTTGTCCTGAATGTTTTATAGTGTTATAGTCTTGTCCATGGGCATTTCAAGGTTCATTTTGTTATGTTTCATGTACACACTTCAATTCTTTTTTTTTTCCCTAAACCTGAATGGATGTCACAGCATACAAATTTGCTCCAATTGTTTCTAGTTCTTGAAAATAGGTGCTGCTGACCTGCTAAAACTGATGGTACTCAGTTGAACTGCCTTACCACTAATATTTTAATCATGAGAGCAAGCCAACTTCTTGTACAGATGTGCGAAACCAAGAAGAGGCATCATTTTTCCAGATTCAGGGATATGTTCATAAAGTCTAGTTTTTATGCTGGCAGCAGTGAAGTGAAAATGGATGAGTCATTTGAATCGCATCCTAGCAAGCAGAAGTGTGCATAAATCAATCCATCATATGGGAAAAACAAGATTGTCTGAGAAAATAAAATAATTTCTCCCCCACTCATCTCTCAGAAGCATATTCTATAATTTCTAAGTCACTAGCAGTAAGCTGTTGGGTATCGTTTCATCTCTCTTGATGGTATTAAACAAAAAAAAGCAAAAACAGCTTCTCCAGTATGATTCCTCCCAACCTGTTTCAAGAAGAGCATTTTTTTTCCAAAGACAAAAAAAGCATGAAGATGGAAAACATCAGTAGTGAACATTTAAAATGCTGAAAACATTACAGGTTTGTCAAGCATCAGTTCCAAATCCACGAGGAGTTTTCAAATATAAACTTATTACCAATCTCAAAAATCCGCATAATCTATTTTATACATTCAGAATAAATAAGCAAAAAAGGAGCCTTAATCAGAATGCTATAAGACATTTATTTTACATTTGTTTTTCACTCAGGACCCCTTCCCACTTTTAAAAATGATGGAGCACCCCGAAAGAGCTTTTGTTTATGGGTTATATTTATTGATATTAAAAATGAAGATGCATTTGCTGCTGCTTATCAGAATTGTTTGATGGAATTTTAATGTTCGTATTATTTTTCAACATAAACCGGCAAATCATTTTAATTCTTGGACCCCCTTCCAAAAAAGAATTGGGGAACTCCTAGGGGTCCCAGAACCACACTTTAACACTGTAATAAGAAATCAAAGAAGTTAGGTCCTTTTTGGTTAAGGAAGTTTGAAATACATGAAGTCTTGAAATGTATCAGCAGAAAATAAAATTTATTAAAGCAGCATTATAGTAACAGAGCTATGGATTTCAGTGTTCCTTAGAGCGTTGAGTAGGAACCAAATTATTATTTTTTAATTCCTGCATTTGTGTGGGCCAGAGGGTTCCATCCAGAGGTGGGTTTCAGCAGGTTCTGACCAATTCTGGAGAACCGGTAGTAGAAACTTTGAGTAGTTCGGAGAATCGGTAAATACCACCTCTGACTAGCCCCACCCCCATCTATTCTCTGCCTCCCAGGTCCCAGCTGATTGGGAGGAAATGGGGATTTTGCAGTAACCTTCCCCTGCCACCCCACCAAGCCACACCCACCAAGCCATGACACTCCCACCAAGCCACACCCACAGAACCGGTAGTAAAAAAAATTGAAGCCCACCACTGGCTCCATCTCCTCCCCCTCCTCCCCCTCCTCCTCCTCCTCCTCCTCCCATTTGTTCTCCTTCAATTAGCTGTATCAACTGTCAGGAGCAGCCATGCTCAACATTTCCACCAATCTATATCTGTATCGCTATGTCTCCGTGATGTTGCCATTCTTTGGCAACTGGGAGCTGTTTTGTTTTCTAGCTTGCTTACGGCACAGTTTGAATATCCTAAAACGTAACGTTTGTGAATGAGATTGACATTTCGGACTAAGGGGGGAGGAGCAACTCTCCTGGAACTTATTCTGCCTCAGATTTCTCTAGTTAATTTCATAAACTCGCTGATGAAGTCAGTCTGAATCCTTCTTGTTTCACAATTCTATTAAAACCTGGCTGGTTTACAGTAATGTCCTTGCTTATATCAGCAGTATGCACTAAGCTCTCCCCTTGCCTGCCTTCCAATCTTACATAAAACATCATTCTCTCTCTTTACCCATTCCTACTTCGAGACAGGCTCAGACAAGATTTTATACTATAATATTGAATGACGATTGTACCACTTGGAAAATGTGCCTGGCTGCAAAATGAGAGCATCCAGCCATCATCACAGTTTTCACTGAAAATTTAGATGTAAGAGGGAGGCTGTCTCAACAGCCAAGCAACTTTCTGATTATGCCAGCAGCTCCGCTTTTTTTTTTTTTTTTTTTGCAAAACAACCACATTTGGAAACAAAGACTTGTTGGAAATACAAGCAAAGAGTCCCAAAGGTGCTTTTTCAAGAGGCAAATGGACTTTCTGGTTTTTTTCTTTGAAAACGTTTCGCTTCTCATCCAAGAAGCTTCTTCAGCTCAGAGCGGGATGGATGAGAAGCGAAATGTCTTCAAAGAAAAACCAGAAAGTCCAGCTGCCTTTTGAAAAAGCATCTCTGGGACAGCCATGTCCTGGATGACTGAGAATGATTGAGAATCTCCATAAGACACAAGCAAAGGGGTTTTTGTTACTCCAGGAACTGCTATAATTTTGGCAAGAGAATGCTCTACAAATGATTCCCCCCCACAATTGTCTCAAGGGAACATTGCTGGGTTCATTGTATTCTATTCTAGTTCTGAGCTATTCAGAATCAATGAGCCGAGGTGGCACAGTGGTTAGGGTGCAATACTGCAGCTACTTCAGCTGACTGCTAGTTCAGCAGATCAGTGGATCAAATCTCACCGGCTCAAAGTTGACTCAGCCTTCCATCCTTCCGAGGTGGGTAAAATGAGGACCCAGATTGTTGGGGGCAATATGCTATTTAGTATACTGTCTTTGGTGTAAGCCACCCAGAGTCCTCGGAGAGTTGGCGGCATAGAAATATGAATAAATAATAATAATAATAATAATAATAATAATAATAATAATAATAATAATACTGGAATGAAATGGATCAAACAGTTGACTATTAACTGCTTTGGAGAATTGGACGATGGAAACTGTGTGATATGGAATTGCTTTCGCACTATACAATCAGAAGACTTATAGAAGAAGATACAAGATCTTAAGATTCCACATTCTTCTTCTAAGATCTCCACTAAAAAGAATGCTGTGGATTGTCTTTGGAGATTCTCAATCATCCAGGTCATGGTTGTCCCAAAAGTGCTTTTTTTCCAAAAGACACCTAGACTTTCTTGGGTTTTTCTTTTTCCTTTGAAAACATTTTATTTCTCACCCAAAAAGCTTCTTCAGTTCTAACCGACTGGTGGGGAATAGAAGGATTTATATGGAATCCTTCCACTCATATGGAATATAAATGCTTCCATTCTCCACCAGTTAGTTAGATCTGAAGAAGCTTCTTGGAAGAGAAGGAAAAAGTTTTCAAAGGAAAAAAAATAAATAAGAAACTCCAGTTGCCTTTTGAAAAAAAGCAGCTTTCTGGGAATACTGTGGGTTACATTACCATCTGACCACTCTCATCCCATAGTCCCTATATCATGTTAACTCAAGCCACAGGCACAGATGTCAGAGAAAGGCAAACAATTGGCATGGATATAATAGAATGTCTACAGTGAATGGCAAAAGTAATTGGATGCTCAGAATATACGTATTTTATGTTGGTGACATGCTATTTTAATTGCTTCATTACACGCTCAGTTTGTAACTCAATCTAGTCTGGAGATCTGCAGAAAAGAGAATATGACACCTACCATCATTCTCTCCAAAATATAAAGCATATGATATAATAAAACAGTTTTAAATGCAAAAGAAATTTCACCTGAGTAGCTTTCCTCAAATTCATTTTTCTTTTCTATTACATTTGGTCAGGGGTGGGCTTCAAAAATTTTAGCAAGGGGTTCTCTGTCCGGTTGTTGGGTGGGCATGGCCATGGCCTAGTCAGCCTCCTGCACCACGACAGGAGGGTGCCCTCCCCAGGCTCCGGAGGCTTTCCTCGAGCCTCCAGGAGGGTGAAAACAGCTCCCTAGGCTCCAGAGGCCCTTTAGAGGCCAAAAATGGCCCCGTTTTTCACCCTCCCCGAGCCTCTGTGCGTGCCCTGCATCCAAAACAGGCCACGTGGGGACTCCTGGGAGGGGAGGGGAGGGGCGGGCAGGGCGGGGCC